CACACACACACTCCCTCACACACACACACACACACACACACACACACATACATACATACATACATACTACACACACACACACACACACACAAACATATATATATATATATATATATATACGCACTCCTGTGAACTTCTTAGTATGGATGATAATGAATGATATATTTCAGATATACCGAGAAACCTCAATCGGTATGAACTCAGCAAATGGGGCAATAGCTTATATGTTTGTAGTAACGTACGAGTTATCAAATACGAGTACATAACATCCTGAATATCTGTACGTTTAAAAAATGGAAGTATTTTGTAACGTTTTGTATTTATTGCATGGCTCACATATATCTTTTTTCAGAACACGATTCACCATCATATCGTCAACTTGTCCGTGAACGCACAGATGCGCGAATACCATAGCTTCAACGATACCTATCATGTATTTCATTAGGACTAGAGTTGAATGCCAGCGCCGGGGGTAAGCATCTATCACCCTCGGAGTTCCACAAACTAGTCCAAAAGAAGCTGGCTTGCCATAACACTAAGGACAGCAGGTTTGAGATGGACGATAAAATACCCAACGAAAGCCATTTCGATTCGTCCACTGTTAAGGCATATACTGCTGAAGAACTATCGAACGAAGGGAGTATCGGCGACAGCACAAAACCGGATGACATCGTTCTGGTGGATTGCCGCAACTACTATGAATCAGCTATAGGTGAGTATGAACGCAATTGTTTTAAGTGATGTCTACATGAATGTGGTCGAGGTGATCCCCTACGCATCTCCTTGCTCCTTCGATTTATGCTCTCAAATTGTAGCGTTAAACACACAAAGATGCGGATCTGAGCTTATATGTACCTACATATATATGCATGTATCTGGCTGTACAGTCAAGAGCACAATAAATCATCGCTGCTCATATAGCCGATCATATACTCATAAATTGTGTATGTCTATATAATCTTCCAAACCCAACACGCGATGTCTTGCTGTATACTTTATTCCCCGTATAGCTGTAAACAGTCATATCACTTATACAGACCTTATGCATTCATTTACCGTTACATACAAGTTTCATGAGCCCCAGAGAGAGATAGATACATATTCCCTTGTGTTTTCATTTGGTATGGTTGAATGGGCGGAGGTAGGATTGTGCAAGGAATTAAATAGAGGAGCAATGTGCTTAAATTTTTGGAGACCGACATCTCGATCCCGAACCTTCTATCTAACTTCACTCATGCATTGTATATTGCACAGGCCACTTCGAAACTTCCGTGCGCCCAAATATACGTAAGTTTAAGTACTGGCCAGAGTACGTGGACAAAAATGAAGACCTCTTCAGGAACAAGACTGTAGCCTTGTATTGCACGGGAGGGATAAGATGTGAATTGGGCTCGGCCTATTTAATGAAGAAGGGTATTGCGAAAGAGGTTGTGCAATTAGACGGGGGCATCCACAGGTGAGGCGATCTTATATAGGGAATTGGATCGTGTACACATGCGAATTGATATGCTTACAAAGTAGGCATTGTCACACTGCTGTGTGATTGAGTGGTAGATTATTAATCAAATCCTTTGACCTCTCGCGTGAATTCTACAATCGGTATGCGCGTGTAATCACTGTGTTTTACTTCCGAGTGTGTTTGTATTTTCTGGCTACTGAGGTTTATGCGCGTGAATGTTAAGTGAGCTCAAAACTGTAAATTGTTCGGTGTCGTAGCTGAGGTGGAATATCGTCATGTCATCGGCGATTTAGCCTGTTTATATTCTGACTCGTTAGCAGTTGAACACCTATGGCGGTCATATTATCGAACAACTAGGTATACAACCCAATAATCGATCTTGTTTGAATTAGTACATCACATTGCTGCATATGATCTTATGGTTACTTAATCCCAATCGGTTGTTTTTTGTCCTTATCATTTACTCGCAGGTATATGGAAAAGTATCCAACCGGGCATTTTAAAGGCAAGCTCTTCGTCTTTGACAATCGCCAGACTGTAATATCAACTGCAGGAGGGGATGATATAGAACACCAGGATACAGCTAACAGGACAAATGTATCAGCAGCAAGTGATACAGGTAGTGATAGAAATGAAGATGCAGCGGGCGGCAATATCCTAAGCCGGTGTAGTAGGTGCCAATGTTTGCACGACGAGTACACGGTGTGTGAGAATGAGGGATGCTCACTGCTGATACTGGTGTGCGAAAAGTGCAGAACACTCGCAGCACCGTCGAAAGTGGTGTGCTGCGATAGCTGTGCCGAAAGTGAGCATGGGAGGTGTACATGCGTATCACAGCGCCAACGCGTGCCTACTGAGGTTTAGAATTTATAAGTATTTAATAGTGGCTCCAGCCGCACACATCGATGTCTCTCTTATAAGCTATACCGTCAATTGCACACGTGTACGAAGGTCTGGGAATATATGCATATATAAGAGCCAACCAAGTTTTGAGCGGCATATAACCAACTGAACGATACCAGGAGAAGACATCTCAATCAAAAGCTGAGCGCACCATTGTACTGTGTTCATGACCTCCTGTTCTTGAAGCTTAACTTCCATATTGTCTCACATTTACAAGGTGATGCATATTCTATTTCCGGTCGCTGACTGCAAAAGTCAGTCGAAGCTCGCGTAAAACAACTATATGATATCCTGCTAAGCAAAATTTTACGAGCACTTGAACTGCGATTTAGACAGCTGCCAAACCCAGCACACTAGTACCCACCTGTCGGATCAGTAATGGACTTGATATTCAATATACAGGGTGCAACAATACATTTCAACGACGACGAGTGCACTTACGCATTGAGCGAGTGCAACATTTTAGCGCGGTGTGTGCACAACAATCAGAAGTAGTGCGCGTGCTAAGAGTTTGGAAATAGCTATTGATTCCGCGTCGCTGAAATCAAACGAAAGATTTGCCAGGATGTGTATGCCCCATTTACAGGTCAGCTAATTTTGGACTGCGATTTCCGACAACTGAGCTGCCGACAGAGTACTTTGATAGCATGTACGTCGATATCAGACGAAGCGTAGTAGTGCTAGTGCCATATATACACTTGTATGCAAAGCACTCTGTCAGTATCTGCAGAATTAACACTTTAACTAAAACTACTGGCAAGTCTTCAAAATATATCAGGAAATGGTGACTATAACATGAAAGTAGCATCAGAGATAAAAATTCCAGGCTAATTTTCAAGTGTCTTTAAGTGGTCATGAGATGTTGAGCTGTAGCTGTGTCGAGTCGGATTGTATAAACTTGCGCGCCACAGTCGGCTATTATTAGAAGTTTTAGCTTAGGCGGCTATACAGTTTGAAGGGTTAAATATACAAGTGATACCAAACGCAGAATGGCATTTTACACTACTTGTTAATATAGCTGATCACTATATACTTGAAAGCCTGGAATGCTTTAGTGGCAAATTGAATGACGATATGGCAAGAAATTTTGACAGTATCGTACCTCTCAATATCAAACTATTCTTGATTTAAATACTTTTGCACGTATCAATGTTCCTTATAACGAAATCAAGGATGTTCTGAACTTTTATAATGCCTACGTCTGCATGCTATTATTCGTTCATATATCTGCAAAACCGTTAGTATCTGAGAATACAAGGACTTAGTTTCATACATGACATAAAAACGTTATCCGTGTATATAGTGCCAGGTTCCAATTGCTTTAAGCTTGTGTAGATTTAATTTTATATTTTCTTAAGCTATTTAGAGTTTTTTTCTCTCTACTAGGCTGAATGCCTGAATCAGAAACCCAGCTTAATGCAGACGAATATAGCCCATTGATGGCCAACGAGTTCACCACGTGGTGTGCTTCCAAGCAAATCAGAGTGCATCCGGTGCAAAAAGGCCAGCACCCGGCGTATGGGTTGCTTGAGGTGCTGTGTCATACCTGCAAGCGCTGGATGTATTGGTTTCTTCCAGCCGGAATGGAGACTATTTGGCCGGACGCAGTCGCAGAGTTCATCTCTGCCTACAAACCACTCGGTCGTCAACAACAGGCATGGCGCCACTCACTCTGGCGACCAATGGCCCGGTGCCCTGTCACCACGCGGACAATAACCTGGTGGCAATCATGAATGAGGACCTCGGTGACCTTGCTACACCAGAACTTTTAAAGCCTGAGCCTGAGAACGACAAGGCTCAGTTGGCACAAGAAAAGGCTGCTAACAAGTGATGAGTTGACGTCCCAATGTTTAACGTGGGTCGTTTGGTGATGTTTAGGGTCCTGGATAATTGGCTTCATCTAGGACCTGTTAGATAAGAAGGTCCCCAATCTTTCGAGAACTGAGAGACCTTGCGATAAATGATAATAATGTCAACTGGTACCACGACAGCCACCGTAAAAGGCGATCGCCCAGAACTATGCGCACTCTTAATTCAGCAACTTCAGCAATGGAACGAAAAGCTTACAATGGTATATATGATATGTCAAATGCAACCGGTTTGGAGGAATCACCACGTTCAGAGATGAAGAGCTTGGTGATACAGCGAAAGGCATTCACTCTGGTTGACAACGAAAAACAAAGAGTCAATTACGATAACAGATATGCCCCAGTAATAGCCTAGGCAACACTCAAAATCTGACTAGCTCTAATGGCACACTCCGACATGGACACTCGACAACACGATACACCCTCGGCCTACCTCACTCAATAACTGGATACCCCTAGCTATATGCGAGTACGCAAGGATACGTCCTCGTTGAACGTCTACTTGATCCGTCCCAGAGACAATTATACGAAAAATACAAACAAGGAGACACAAAGGTCGTATGTCGAGTTGACCGTTGTGTATACGGTCTACCACCTAGCGGACACTACTGGCTTAAAGCTATTCTTCGTTTTGCTATACGCAACCATTATAGATAAGCACAATAGGATGGAGCACGGTTCATCAAACAAACCCACAGTGGACCGTGTTTCATTATTGTAGCGTGCCAGAGTAAGACTGACGGACAGAAACTAGCTGACGCAATGAAAAGCGAATGGAACACTGTCGATATGGGCATACCCTCGTGGTTTCTCAAGTGCGAAGCAAAAATACACCCTGGAAGAGTACGTCTTCATCAACGACAATACCTAAGAGAACCATATTGCAGGAATGGGGATTGATGTGCCAATTCTAGAGTCAGGTTTTTTCTGGATAAGATCTTTCTGGACAAGGTCGCTCCGAGGGGTTCGGTTTTGACGGTCCATTGGTATTTGAGGGGCTTTCATAATCGAGAAAGATCGTTCGCAGAAAAGTTTAGCTTGCCAGACATGTACCCCAGGGAGACTGGCCAGAGAACCTGATTCTGATGGCAGAACCAAAGCAGACGCATGAGTTGAGCATTCATGAGCTTGGATTGGCTCCTGCGCTTCCGGAGTGCGTGCAGAAAAGCACTGCTGTCGGTAATCCAGAGCAAAGGGACCTGGCCGACGTTTTGAGTTCTGTGAAAGAACTCGTACGCTAAAACGAGAGCCTTGAGTTTGAGAACTGCGATAGGCCATCGTCTTTTTGTGAGGCACCACAGCCCTGCGAAGGTGGTCGTGGTTTCATGCCAGTAAAGCGTTGCCCAGAACCTTAACTGGGATGAGTCCGAGGTAAGTGTTGCTCTGTGGTCGGGGAACTAAATCGATCTGGGTTCGAAGATTGATATTAGCTGATTTATGCGCTCGATATTTTTGAACGCAGCCCTTGAGAGGCAAATCTTCTGGGCATGTGTCCATGGCGTCGATTGTTGTAGATTGGCGATGAATGGTCGTAGTCTCAACATGGATAACCCTGCCCGCAGCAGGCATCCGCAGAAAGATTGCCACAGTTGAGTCTTGACTCTGCGTTGGCTGCACAGGCCCATGGAGTCTATCGTGTTGCGCACTAGGTCGATTATCACGCCTAATTGCTGCAACTTCACTGGGAAGTCCCAATAGGGATACTATTATTTAATTCAAAAATGGCAAGTATGTATGATACAATGTATGAACATACGGTATGACTCTCATAGTCGCTGTAGTGGTTCAGGAAATATTGATGGGAAGAAGTGGTCAGTAAATTCCCGTTTGAAGCTTGGGCCAAGTTAGTCGACAATGGAAGATATGTGCTGAGTCAATTCGGGCCGGGATGACAAAACACTGTTACTATCGAATGTTCCATATATTCGCTTGCTGACCTACCAAGTAGAGTACCCACCTCTGTGGTACGGATCGGGTCTGCGCCGTGTAGTGCCGCGGAATGGGTTAGTGCAGAGTACGAAATACCGAGATGGACCAGGTTATCCATCATAATCCGGTC